CTACACAGTATTCATATACAGACATCCATATATGCTGAAATACATGTGAGGAAGCTCTCACATACAGCGCCACAGACCCAGTTTACGCCCAATACTGAACCGTGTACTCTAGCTGCAGGACCTGCTACGACTCAGTCTCCAAGAACCACTACCTCTGCCTGTGACTCAAGCGATTCGATTGACGAAGATGTCTCGGTTGGAGCACCATCCCCTCCTCAACGGGAAGGGCAAATAGTCTTAAAGATTTCCTTCTGCACATCACACCCACAACCTCGAACGACGACAATGCAATGTCAATACGAAGCATGACTACCCCGAAGCCCAAGAAGACCAATGACCCAAGCCTGATGTAAAATGCCAGAAGAAAGAAGCAAGAACAACTCTGAAGTCTGAGCTCTGACCGAGAAACGAAGACCCAAGACTGAAGTAACACCAACCACCACCAACTGCCAGCTGCCTGGCACCAGCGCCCAGGGATACAAATGGACAAAGTGAACGCCGTACAGTATCATCGCTAAGTCAAACTCGTGGTGGTCGGGCCAGCCGAGCTGTACCCTCTTCCTCAGACTTTACCCTGTTCCCTGCTCAAGTTTTCTTCATCCTCACCCCAGCCTTGCATGTCCTGCTTACCTGCCCTAGGGTCTTGTATTCGATTCACAGCTCCCTGACAAGAGAGCAAGCTTAGCTTAGCTGCCAACACACACACTGTCAGCAAGGCTCCACGCAAGTCGGTGTTCAATCGCTGATCATCCAAGTGGTTGGGGTGCAAAATGTTTAGTAATATGTTGGTTACATATTATATATTACTCAACATATTACATATGATAACCAGAGCGCAACACCATAGTCTCCTGAGCCTGATGGATGCCTACTACTATTACTACATTAACAACTCTTGTACATGAATGTATATGTGTGGCAGGTGTGAGTATATAGAATGTGAGGAAGCTCTCACATACTCACAGCGCCACAGACCCAGTTCACGCCCCATACTGAACCGTGTACTCTAGCTGCAGGACCTGCTACGACTCAGTCCTCCAAGAACCACAACCTCTGCCTGTGACTCAAGCGATTCGATTGACGAAGATGTCTCGGTTGGAGCACCATCCCCTCAACGGGAAGGGCAACTAGTCTTAAAGATTTCCTTCTGCACATCACACCCCACAACCTCGAACGACGACAATGCAATGTCAATACGAAGCATGACTACCCCGAAGCCCAAGAAGACCAACCGACCCAAGCCTGATGTAAAATGCCAGAAGAAAGAAGCAAGAACAACTCTGAAGTCTGAGCTCTGACCGAGAAACGAAGACCCAAGACTGAAGTAACACCAACCACCACCAACTGCCAGCTGCCTGGCACCAGCGCCCAGGGATACAAATGGACAAAGTGAACGCCGTACAGTATCATCGCTAAGTCAAACTCGTGGTGGTCGGGCCAGCCGAGCTGTACCCTCTTCCTCAGACTTTACCCTGTTCCCTGCTCAAGTTTTCTTCATCCTCACCCCAGCCTTGCATGTCCTGCTTACCTGCCCTAGGGTCTTGTATTCGATTCACAGCTCCCTGACAAGAGAGCAAGCTTAGCTTAGCTGCCAACACACACACTGTCAGCAAGGCTCCACGCAAGTCGGTGTTCAATCGCTGATCATCCAAGTGGTTGGGGTGCAAAATGTTTAGTAATATGTTGGTTACATATTATATATTACTCAACATATTACATATGATAACCAGAGCGCAACACCATAGTCTCCTGAGCCTGATGGATGCCTACTACTATTACTACATATGTGTGGCAGGTGTAAGTATATACGAACACGTTGTACTGAACGGGATGAGAATAGCTAGAGCTACGTACGTTATCCCTTTGTGTGCATTCATACTTCAATAAACTTGTTTTAATTTCATAAGGTTGGGCATCATTCTATTCCTCACTCCTATAAATCCCCATCCTTATCTCTTTCATGTGCTATATACTCGTAATGGCTTAGTGCTTTCTCCTCATAATTACCGTACCTTGATTACCGTACCATTTCTGTAATTTTCCCTTCACCTGTGCCTCTCCATCTTCACTTAAAACACCCAGAGCTGCGCCCCTTGCGCCTTTGAGACAAAGATACTCTGGAGGTCGCCTAATGACAAAAAAAAAGTTATTACAGATTCATGTGTAAATATTATAAGGATATTGCGTTAAGATTGGCATATATAGAGCCATAGGCCTATACATGCATATTTAAACTTTTGCACTGCAATACTGATAATTGTAAATACATACTAATCAATTACACGTGGAAACAACGCTGACCTATTAAAAGGTTTCTTAAGTAAAGGTAACGCAGTGGTAACATGCACTGCGCTTCGCGAGAGATTTCGTCTACGTTCGTATCCTTGTCGGGGGAGGATTGACAGGGTACGAATCCTTAACTGTACGCCTCTGTTCACCCAGCATTGAATGGGCACCTGGTTCTTCATCAATTGGCGGGTGGTGTTTCAGGGAAAACTACTGGGTAAGGCTTACCATGAGTTATGGGAAGGGGGAAGCTCTCAACCGTTGTCTCAAACAGAAGTCACCCTGTTCCTGTACACAACTGTGTAAAACAATAACATGTGTTGCTTATTCTAATTACGTGACAATCTGAGTACTTCTGGGGCTGCTTTCCACTGCATTAGGCTAGTGCTTATAACACATGTAACCTTATTACATATTAACACTGTCTGGGTAGATATATACCCAAGTTGGATTCACAGACGTGTACTGAGGTGAATTACGTACGTGCGTGCGCACACATTTTATATATATATATATATATATATATATATATATATATATATATATATATATATATATATATATATATATATATATATATATATATATATATATATATATATATATATATATATATATGTCGTACCTAGTAGCCAGAACGCACTTCTCAGCCTACTATTCAAGGCCCGATTTGCCTAATAAGCCAAGTTTTCATGAATTAATTGTTTTTCGTCTACCTAACCTACCTAACCTAACCTAACCTAGCTTTTTTTGGCTACCTAACCTAACCTTACCTATAAATATAGGTTAGGTTAGGTTAGGTAGGGTTGGTTAGGTTCGGTCATATATCTACGTTAATTTTAACTCCAATAAAAAAAATTGACCTCATACATAGAGAAAAGGTTGCTTTATCATTTCATAAGAAAAAAATTATAGTAAATATATTAATTCAGGAAAACTTGGCTTATTAGGCAAATCGGGCCTTGAATAGTAGGCTGAGAAGTGAGTTCTGGCTACTAGTACGACATTATATATATATATATATATATAATATATATGTCGTACCTAGTAGCCAGAACGCACTTCTAATACTATGCAAGGCTAGATTTGCCTAATAAGCCAAGTTTTCCTGAATTAATATAATTTCTCTAATTTTTTTCTTATGAAATGATAAAGCTACCCATTTCATTATGTATGAGGTCAATTTGTTTTTATTGGAGTTAAAATTAACGTAGATATACGACCGAACCTAACCAACCCTACCTAACCTAACCTAACCTATTTTATAGTTAGGTTAGTTAGGTAGCCGAAAATGTTAGGTTAGGTTAGGTTAGTTAGGTTAGGTAGTCGAAAAAGCATTAGTTCATGAAAACTTGGCTTATTAGGCAAATCGGGCCTTGCATAGTACGCTGAGAAGTGCGTTCTGGCTATAGGTACGATATATATATATATATATATATATATATATATATATATATATATATATATATATATATATATATATATATATATATATATATATATATATATATATATATATATATTAATTACACACATGTATATCTCACACGCGCACACATACACGTAATTCCGTGTGTATACACACGGTTTACGGTTTACTTTAGTTGTGGACCATATCCAGAACCAAAGTATACTTTTTGGATGGTCCACAAGCTATTCTGGTGGCCTTAATAACTCGCGAGATTGGCAGATCTTGAGCCCAATACAACACTGCCAATTGAGACGAGTGCTCTAGGGAACATTGCCTGAGCATTTGTTAAGTTTGTTAAGTTGGGATGGACTTGGTAATTTGCATGACGGTACTCCAGTGTCCAGTGTTTTTGTCAACGCTGCTTACAAATACAACCATCACCTTGAATGGCACTACGTGTCCCCCCCCCCAATAAGTGAAGTGCCACCACAATAACAGGTTATCCCTGGCTCGAGGGCGACTGGTCGTCCCCGCCCTTACGGCCAATGGTCGTCCCCGCCCTTACGGCCAATGGTCGTCCCCGCCCTTACGGCCAATGGTCGTCCCCCCTACGCCCTTACGGCCAATGGTCGTCCCCGCCCTTACGGCCAATGGTCGTCCCCGCCCTTACGGCCAATGGTCGTCCCCGCCCTTACGGCCAATGGTCGTCCCCGCCCTTACGGCCAATGGTCGTCCCCGCCCTTACGGCCAATGGTCGTCCCCGCCCTTACGGCCAATGGTCGTCCCCGCCCTTACGGCCAATGGTCGTCCCCCGCCCTTACGGCCAATGGTCGTCCCCGCCCTTACGGCCAATGGTCGTCCCCGCCCTTACGGCCAATGGTCGTCCCCGCCCTTACGGCCAATGGTCGTCCCCGCCCTTACGGCCATGGGTCCAATGGTCGTCCCCGCCCTTGGTCGTCCCCGCCCTTACGGCCAATGGTCGTCCCCGCCCTTACGGCCAATGGTCGTCCCCGCCCTTACGACCAATGGTCGTCCCCGCCCTTACGACCAATGGTCGTCCCCGCCCTTACGACCAATGGTCGTCCCCGCCCTTACGACCAATGGTCGTCCCCGCCCTTACGACCAATGGTCGTCCCCGCCCTTACGACCAATGGTCGTCCCCGCCCTTACGACCAATGGTCGTCCCCGCCCTTACGACCAATCGTCCCCGCCCTTACGACCAATGGTCGTCCCCGCCCTTACTGGTCGTCCCCGCCCTTACGACCAATGGTCGTCCCCGCCCTTACGACCAATTATTTCTCACCTGAGGACGACTGGTTGTCGATAGGGTCCAGCTCGCGGTCGTGAGTGGGGGACGGGGCGTCGTCGCTACCAATACCGGATGACCTCGCGGAGTCGTCCTCGTGGGACTTGCGGGTGGCTGCGGGTGGGGCGCGGCGGGTGTCGGGTAGTCGTCCTCGGGAGCGGTTGAGGGTGTCATAATCCTTGGGTGGCAGGAGGAGGGGCGCGCCCCGACCTCCAAGCTTCTCCCGCAGCTCTGCCGCCAGGGAGTCGTAGAGCGTGGCCATGCCGGGACCCGCAGCCGCAGGCACCGCTTGCGGCGAGCGCCCAGAGCTGCTGCCGCCGCCGCCAGAGGACGTCGACGACCCCGTGGAGGCACCATCTGACCCGCGGCTGGTGGAGGGCGCAGGCAGCAACCCGCGCGCGGCCAGGCGCGATTCAAGCGCCGCCAGCTTAGCCTGCTGCTCCGGGTGCTCCACCAGCTGCGCCAGGTGGTCGCGCAGCAGCGCCGCCGTCTCGGTCGAGTCGCAGCGGTACGTATGGACGTGCACGGGGCAGCGGGTGAGCGGGTTGTAGATGAGGAGGATAGCAGAGACGATATCATCGTCAGGGCGCGCCTCCTGCTGGACGTAAGTGACCGCTGAAGCGGGGATGAAGTGCTTGACGGGCGCAGCAGCGCGGCCATGAGGCCCCGCCTGCAGGAGCTTGATGCCCCTGCCAGACACCTGCAGCGTCACCTTATCTGGCTCCTGCTCCCGCTCGCGCCCCACCAGGTAGTGGACGACGGGGCGCACGCACTCTGCGCCCCGAAGGCCCCGGCACTCCTCAGCACCCAGGAACCACACGTAGTAGGAGGCCTTGCGGACCTTGGCCACGCTGGAGGGCGGGGAAGGTGGCCCTGAGCAGCCCCGCTGGTCCTTGTGCCTCATCCTCTCGGGTCACCTAGCTCCTCCTCACCACTCACTCACTCACACTTCACAAATACCATCTAGCAATATATATTTTTTTCAGATGACTATTAAGCAACTTGGGTTATAAATAATTAATTTTGGGTATTAATATTTTTTCTTATTAATGAGGCGAAAGTTTTTGGCCACTGACAGGTGAGGAGAGCGAGAGGCGACACACACACCCTCCACCACGGCCAGCGAGTAACTGAACCCTGCGGACTATTTCCGCACCTAAGAAGGTCGACCCCCCACCCGCGCGCCATCTCGCGGCCTGACTCACAAGCTACCAGACGGGTAACTTGCGGGAACTCCCACCTCTCGTTTTCCTGCCAATCACAATTCCGCTCGAGACTGGAAATACGAGGCTGTTGGATTTCGATTGGTGGGCAAGGTTTCCATAGGTAAAAATGTCAAGTTATAGACTCAGTCCTGGTCCTGGTTGGTCACCTTTGACTGTGGAGTACCTTCGTGTGGGAGCACATCACAGTGTCCGAGGACGTTGTCTTGTCTCGCCACACAATGGTCGACAAACAACTTGTCTTCAGGACACACATGAAGGAATGTGCAACACCAACGGGAAATTTCGATGCGCCACATGCAAGTGATCTTAAGGAAGGCGCGAGGAATGACCACCGCATCACCCCTGCCTGCCCAGGGACCACCACACTCCCCTCACACCATGCCACCACATTCCACTCATACCATGCCACCACACTCACACCATGCCAGCACACTCACACCATGCCATCACACTCACACCATGCCATCACACTCACACCATGCCAGCACACTCACACCATGCCACCACCACACTCACACCATGCCACCACCACACTCACACCATGCCACCACCACACTCACACCATGCCACCACACTCACACCATGCCATCACACTCACACCATGCCACCACACTCACACCATGCCACCACCACACTCACACCATGCCACCACACTCACACCATGCCACCACCACACTGCCACCACCACACTCACACCATGCCACCACTCACACCATGCCACCACCACACTCACACCATGCCACCACCACACTCACACCATGCCATCACACTCACACCACCACACTCACACCATGCCACCACACCATGCCACCACACTCCCACCATGCCACCACACTCACACCACACTCACACCATGCCACCACCACACTCACACCATGCCACCACCACACTCACACCATGCCACCACCACACTCACACCATGCCATCACACTCACACCATGCCACCACACTCACACCATGCCACCACACTCACACCATGCCACCACACTCACACCATGCCACCACATTCACACCATGCCACCACTCACACCATGCCACCACTCACACCATCCACACCATGCCACCACCACACTCACACCATGCCACCACACTCACACCATGCCACCACACTCACACCATGCCACCACACTCACACCATGCCACCACTCACACCATGCCACCACCACACTCACACCATGCCACCACACTCACACCATGCCACCACACTCATACCATGCCACCACACTCACACCATGCCACCACACTCACACCATGCCACCACTCACACCACCACCACTCACACCATGCCACCACCACACTCACACCATGCCACCACACTCACACCATGCCACCACACTCACACCATGCCACCCACACTCACACCATGCCACCACACTCACACCATGCCACCACACTCACACCATGCCACCACACTCACACCATGCCACCACACTCACACCATGCCACCACCACACTCACACCATGCCACCACTCACACCATGCCACCACACACACCATGCCACCACCATGCCACCACCACACTCACACCATGCCACCACTCACACCATGCCACACCACACCATGCCACCACTCACACCATGCCACCACTCACACCATGCCACCACACTCACACCATGCCACCACCACATTCACACCATGCCACCACCACACTCACACCATGCCACCACTCACACCATGCCACCACACTCATGCCACCATGCCACCACACTCACACCATGCCACCACTCACACCATGCCACCACTCCCACCACCACCACACTCACACCATGCCACCACTCACACCATGCCACCACACTCACACCATGCCACCACACTTATGGTCACTTTGCTCTTAATGAAGTGTAGAGGAAGAAGTATCCACACTGTGTGGGTGTGTAGGAAGGGAAGAGGGACAACCCCGCCCCCCCCCCCAACAACAGTTTTAACTACACTGTACTTCAAAAAATACAATAACATTGTATATAATATTTTCAAAGTTCTTCATAGATTTGTTTATTGATTTAATTGTTTATATGTTTAAAAGCTTACTTGATTAATTTATATTTATTTTATTAATTAACATGTCTGTTAATTTAATTATTTAGTTTGTTATAGTTAAATGCTTATTATAAACCGGTTTAGGCTGTATCCTCCAGTTAATTTCGTGTTCTTTTATATGAAACACCATAATACAATATATATACATACAATAAAGCAAATAAATAATTACTAATTAGTCAAAATTATTTCAATTAATACTCCGTGAATCTGTACTGTTTTAATCAGTTCCTTTTGCATTAGAACTAACATACCTAAACAATCTCTGCGGAAAGCAAACTCAGGGTGCGTGTTGACGTGATTGTTGTGGACGCACTTGGATGCTGCAGATTATAGGGCTTGAGCAAGCCAGGGTTGAGGGGCCGGCCGGCCACTAACTTCTGTACCACATTTGCACTCTCATTCTTGTTGTGTCGTGTTGATTCCAATATTCCTAGCATACGAGTAGCCTAGTTACAATGTGGGTAGCTTCGTTACAATGTGGGGTAGCTTCGTTACAATGTGGGGTAGCCTCGTTACAATGTAGGGTAGCTTCGTTACAATGTGGGGTAGCTTCGTTACAATGTGGGGTAGCCTAGTTACAATGTGGGTAGCTTCGTTACAATGTGGGGTAGCTTCGTTACAATGTGGGGTAGCCTCGTTACAATGTGGGTAGCTTCGTTACAATGTGGTATAGCTTCGTTACAATGTGGGGCTTCGTTACAATGTGGGTAGCTTCGTTACAATGTGGGGTAGCTTCGTTACAATGTGGGTAGCTTCGTTACAATGTGGGTAGCTTCGTTACAATGTGGTATAGCTTCGTTACAATGTGGGGTAGCTTCGTTACAATGAGGAGTAGCCTCGTTACAATGTGGGTAGCTTCGTTACAATGTGGGGTAGCTTCGTTACAATGTGGGGTAGCTTCGTTACAATGTGGGGTAGCTTCGTTACAATGTGGGGTAGCTTCGTTACAATGTGGGGTAGCTTCGTTACAATGTGGGGTAGCTTCGTTACAATGTGGGGTAGCTTCGTTACAATGTGGGTAGCCTCGTTACAATGTGGGTAGCCTAGTTACAATGTGGGTAGCCTAGTTACAATGTGGGTAGCCTAGTTATAATGTGGGTAGCCTAGTTACAATGTGGGTAACCTAGTTATAATGTGGGTAGCCTAGTTACAATGTGGGTAACCTAGTTATAATGTGGGTAGCCTAGTTACAGTGTGGGGTAGCCTAGTTACAATGTGGGTAGCCTAGTTACAATGTGGGTAACTAGTTACAATGTGGGTAGCCTCGTTACAATGTGGGTAGCCTAGTTACAATGTGGGTAGCCTAGTTACAATGTGGGTAGCCTAGTTATAATGTGGGTAGCCTAGTTACAATGTGGGTAACCTAGTTACAATGTGGGTAGCCTAGTTACAATGTGGGTAGCCTAGTTACAATGTGGGTAGCCTCGTTACAATGTGGGTAACCTAGTTATAATGTGGGTAGCCTAGTTACAGTGTGGGGTAGCCTAGTTACAATGTGGGTAGCCTAGTTACAATGTGGGTAGCCTAGTTACAATGTGGGTAACTAGTTACAATGTGGGTAGCCTCGTTACAATGTGGGTAGCCTAGTTACAATGTGGGTAGCCTAGTTACAATGTGGGTAGCCTCGTTACAATGTGGGTAGCCTAGTTACAATGTGGGTAGCCTAATTATAATGTGGGTAGCCTAGTTACAATGTGGGTAACCTAATTATAATGTGGGTAGCCTAGTTACAATGTGGGTAACCTAGTTATAATGTGGGTAGCTTAATTACTGTGTGGGTAGTATGGGTAGCCCCTAAGCCTCCTCAATATACACGCTAAATTTTAACACATACTTAATCAGATTAAAAAAGTAGAGCATGAGCAAAATTACTGCCGTTATAGAATTGTCTTTATCGTCCGTTTTTTTAACTTTGTTCCCAGCTTGGCGTTGGAGACGATGTTACTGTGGTGTGTAGCCGGCGGACCCTGCATGGCAGCCATTATATCATGTGCGTCCACTACAGATACTTCTGGGAGCCATTATAACATGTGCGTCCACTACAGATACTTCTGGGAGCCATTATATTATGTGCGTCCACTACAGATACTTCTGGGAGCCGTTATATCATGTGCGTCCACTACAGATACTTCTGGGAGCCGTTATATCATGTGCGTCCACTACAGATGCTTCTGGGAGCCATTATAACATGTGCGTCCACTACAGATACTTCTGGGAGCCGTTATATCATGTGCGTCCACTACAGATACTTCTGGGAGCCATTATAACATGTGCGTCCACTACAGATACTTCTGGGAGCCGTTATATCATGTGCGTCCACTACAGATACTTCTGGGAGCCATTATAACATGTGCGTCCACTACAGATACTTCTGGGAGCCGTTATAACATGTGCGTCCACTACAGATGCTTCTGGGAGCCATTATAACATGTGCGTCCACTACAGATACTTCTGGGAGCCGTTATATCATGTGCGTCCACTACAGATACTTCTGGGAGCCGTTATATCATGTGCGTCCACTACAGATACTTCTGGGAGCCGTTATATCATGTGCGTCCACTACAGATACTTCTGGGAGCCGTTATTACATGTACGTCCACTACAGATGCTTCTGGGAGTCGTTATAATATGTGCGTCCACCACAGATACTTCTGGGAGCCGTTATAGCGCTTTCCCAGGTCTGTGGGCTGGTGGTCTGCACATTATTATTACATAGTTGTATCGGCCAGCTGGTCGACCGCTGTTGTTTCCATAATTTGTTTACTATTTTTTTTATTTACACCTTCAATCTCTACATGTTCTCTCTCTCTCTGACTAGTCCGCTTGCTATTTTATTTCTATACATCTCTTCAGGA